TTTTGTTTTTTTGCAGTACACAGGCCTCTCGCTGTTGTGGCCTCTCCCGTTGCGGAGCATAGGCTCCGGATGCGCAGGCTTAGCGGCCATGGCTCACGGGCCCAGCCGCTCCGCGGCATGTGGGATCCTCCCGGACCGGGGCACGAACCCATGTCCCCTGCATCGGCAGGCGGACTCTCAACCACTGCGCCACCAGGGAAGCCCAATTTGTGTTATTTTGAGCCACTAAACGTGTGGCAATTTGTTACAGCAGCAAGAGGACACTAATACAAGTACCCAAGAAACCTTGGGTTTCTTAGTTGCCTCTGGGAAAGGGGAATAGTTAGTTGAAGGACAGGAGTGGAAAAGGTATACAGTATGAATTTTTGAACTATGTGAATGTATTATTTTAACATAAATAAAAATGCTTTGAACGTTTGGGGATCCCCTGCTGTGATCTCCAGGGCCACTCCCTCAGCCCACCATGGACGGGCCTCCACGCACCTGTGAGTTTCCTGTCTTCTTTCCTGCAGCAGAAGAGAGGATTCAAGAGGGAGCCAGTAGAGATCCTGATGAATCCAGAACCGCGGCCTCCTCCCCGCACCTTGGGGAGGGCTGTGCTACGTCCCCACCCTCTCTCTGACCCCTCCTGCCCTGCGGGAAGCAGTGTGGTACGGTGGAAAGGCCACTTAGAATCCAAAGACTTTGGGTTTGAATTCCTTTTCTATCACTCACTAGCTTTGAAACTGGGCAAATTCCTTTACCTCTGACCCTCAGTTTCTTCATCCAAAAGTGAGATGAACAGCCACCCCTCACAGGGCTGTTGTAAGGATTAGGTACATGGTACTTAGTAAGTGCTCCATAAATATTAGATAAACCTGGATCCTATTAAAAGTTCTTAATATTTACCTTTGGGAGAATTTACACTGAGAAGTGCACTTAGCAGATGTGAGATTCGTATTCTCCCTGGCCAGAGAGCACCTGGCGAAAATGATCACAAGCACCGTTCTGTAGCAAATCGTATTCACCTGGAGGCCCCCGAGCATCCCTCAAAGACGCCCGTCCTCGGTTACTTCCAGAGGTCCTTAGCAATATCTGCCTGTGCCTGGATGTGCTGGGTGCACACAGGGATGGTGGCCCGGCACTCCTGAGTGCCCGGGGCTTCTGCGGGAGGGGTAGTGAGAAATCAGAGGCTGATGTATTATCTACCGATCCACAGTTTATTCTCTCCCACCGTTTCTGAGGGTCAGGAATCCAGCAGTGGCTGAGCTGGGTAGTTCTGGCTCAGGGTCTCTCGCGAGGCTGCAGTCAAGCTATGGGCCAGACCGGCATCATCGAAAGTCTTGAAAGGGTTCAAGGACCCACCTCCAGAGGGTCACTAAAGTGGCTATTGGCTGGAGTCCTCAGTTCCTTCCTGAGCACCTCCAGACTCCACGTAGAGTCTCTCAGGACAACTGGCTCCCCCAGAGTGAGATATCTGTGTGCGTATAGGTGCACGAGATGGGGAGAGAGAACAGAACAGAGGCCATAGTATTTTCTATAACCTTACTCAGAAAAAATGCATCTGGGGGCTTCCCTGGTGGCACAGTGGTTGGGGGTCCGCCTGCCGATGCAGGGGACACGGGTTCATGCCCCGGTCCGGGAAGATCCCACATGCCGCGGAGCGGCTGGGCCCGTGAGCCATGGCCGCTGAGCCTGCACGTCCGGAGCCTGTGCTCCGCAACAGGAGAGGCCACGGCAGTGAGAGGCCCGTGTACTGCAAAAAACAAAACAAAACAAAAAAAGCATCTGCAATTTCCCTAATCTCAAACTGAAATTTGGCATTTATTTCAATCATACATGTGGGCAACAAACCAAAGCACTTAATAGTGCATTATTCGTGTCTTTATCACCGTGCAGTCACAGATATGTTCAGATAGCATGACAGTTGTTACAGGCGGCTCCAAATCTAGGGTACGTGCATCATCACACAGTCAAACCAAGGCTGACGTCTGCTGCTATCCTGTTATCTAATGTTTCCCTAATGACACTCCTATGCTACCATACTGCGCATTCTCTGTCAAGTGTCTTTCAATATAATTGGTTTCCTTTTAAATCCTATGTATTTTATTTCATTCATTCAAAAATAATATTGGCAGTAACCAGACTACTAAAGGGGCCCGTGGCACAAAAAGGGCAGGACTGCTGAGGCCAGGGGATCTGCACTGGCTCCTCCATGATTCATGTCTTACTGGGCAAATCAGCCCTTCCATCTCTACTGCCAAGGTGGGATAGGAACAGGCTGTGCTCCCTGCCCCCATTAATTCTGTAAATGGCCTTCTCGTGGATTTGATGCTGTTTGCTTTTCCTCATGGTGCCGGTTGTGTCTGGGCCGGGCTGGTGACTCAGCGCCTGCGGCCTTGATGGACTGGAGGTGTGTCCCCACCACCCCATACTCTCTGTTCTTGGAGAAACACCTGCTGGGAGTTCCCTGAATATGTGTCAGGATCTAATTTCACTGCGGAAAAAATCTATGAAATTCTTTATGTAGATATGAAAGCGCAGAGGGGAACTCATCTCCCCTGGCCAAATCCACCTGCTTTGTCCTCACCCTGCTTCCGAGGCAGCTCAGCCAATGGACACCTCTCTACAGAGGGAAGGAGGGGACATTTGCTGAGCACTTACATGCATCTCCCCATTTACTCCTCCTAGCAAGTCTAGGAGGTTGTTTCCTATCTCCCCTTAACAGATGAGGAAAGTGAGGCTCCAAGACTTTACGGGACTTACTCCAGGTAACCCTGTTTGCAAGTGCTGGAGCTAGGACTTGACCCCTAAGCCTGCAGTACACTGTTCTCACTTACTCTGTGCCGGTGAAGGCTGGTGGCCTGGGATGGATGCGTGCCAGCTTGCCTGCCAAGTTGAGCAGTTAATGCTTATTTCAGTAGGTTACTGGGGAGCCCCCAAAGGCTCTTGAGGTGGGGAAGCAATACAGTGAGTTTCACTTTAAGAAGTGAATTGGGAGCTGGAAGATGACTTAGGGGGTCGCAGGCCTGGAGACAGGAAAATTGATTAGGAAGTTATTGCTGTTCAGGTAAGACATGCTGAGGGCCTCAGGTGATGGGGTGGGAGCCAGAAGGTTAGCATGCAGGGGGCATGGCAGAAGCATGTGTGGGGTTAGGGCTGGGAGGACCCCGTGGAGCATCTGGGCCAGGGAGAGGTCACGGGAGGCTGACATGACCAGCTACACTCATGTTAGGGTGGCCGTGGGGAGTCTTGGTTCCTTCATCCCTTGGGTCCTGCAGGTCCCTCAGGGGAAGTCAAGCTGGCCTGTGCTAGAGGCCTTTCTGGAGCCCAAGCTCCCCGGGCGGCTCCTGGTGCCTAGGGAGAGACCAGCCCTTCCTTGCCCCACGCCTGCTGTATGGTTTTTCCCTCTTCTGACAATTTAGCCCCATGAGTGGTGGGAGCAGATGCTCTGACCGCAGGCTGGAGCCTTGAAACTAATTGTGGCTGCGCAGAAGAAGCTGCCTCAGACACGGGGAAGTATTGAGTCAGTTTATGGGAGACCATCCGAATAGTGGTGGCACATTTTCTCCCCCTTTCCAAATGGCCAGTCACCCTGAGTTTTCTATTAAAGAAAGGGCAACAGAGGGTGATGGTCCAGCTTTTTGACTCAGGGGCCCAACTACTTGGGCCCAAATCCCAGATCTGCCAGTTACTCACCAGGAGCCTTGAGCAATTAATCTCTGTGTCCCTGAGCTTCCTCATCTGTAAAATGGGAATAATACTGGTACCCACTTGGAAGGACTGTCGAGGTTAAGTGGGTTGAACCATGAAGCGCTACTAGTGCCTGGTATGTAGTTGGTGCTTAATAAATAGGCGTTGAACGGATGAGTGTTTTAGAAGAAAGCTTCCCAAGGAGGAAAATTAGAGGTGATGTGTTTTTTTTTTTCACGTGAAATGGTAAAATCTAGATAAGGAAAGGCCCCACTTTGTTCGAGCTCCTTCCCAATACAGTCCATTAAAGGGGGATGAGGGGAGAGTTACTGGAAGAAGTAAATTAAAAACCCATGAAAGGATTTTCCTGGTGGCGCAGTAGTTAAGAATCCGCCTGCCAGGCCTTCCCTGGTGGTGCAGTGGTTGAGAATCTGCCTGCCAATGCAGGGGACACGGGTTCGAGCCCTGGTCTGGGAAGATCCCACATGCCGCAGAGCAACTAGGCCTGTGAACCACAATTACTGAGCCTGCGTGTCTGGAGCCTGTGCTCTGCAACAAGAGAGGCCGTGATAGTGAGAGGCCCACGCACCGCCATGAAGAGGGGCCCCAACTTGCTGCAACTAGAGAAAGCTCTCGCACAGAAACGAACACCCAACAGAGCCATAAATAAATAAATAAATAAAAAAGAATCCGCCTGCCAATGCAGGGGACACGGGTTCGATCCCTGGTCCGGGAAGATTCCCACATGCTGTGGAGCAACTAAGCCCGTGCACCACAAATACTGAGCCTGTGCTCTAGAGCCTGCAAGCCACAACTACTGAGCCCGTGTGCTGCAACTACTGAAGCCCGTGCACCTAGAGCTTGCGCTCCACAACAGGTGAAGCCACAGCAATAAGAAGCGCACACACCGCAACGAAGAGTAGCCCCTGCTCGCCGCAACTAGAGAAAGCCTGTGCACAGCAACAAAGACCCAACGCAGCCAAAACTCAATCCATCAATCAACAAAAAATTTTTTTAAAACCCAAGAAAAATTATTTCCTTTCTCTGCTTATTGACATTCTCCCTTCCAGGCCCAGTGTAGACGCCAACTCCTCAGGGGAGCCTTCCCTGGTTTCTACTCTTCCCCAGCACCCTCAGACATGGCTTCCTCTTCTATTCTCGGGCAGCTTCCATCTTGTGGGTTTTATGGTAGCACTTACTTAATCCTACTTTATTTTAGCTGCATTCATGGCCTTCTCCTCTTACCGGACAGGAAGCTTCCCTCCGAGGCAGACACACGTGGGAGCTTTGAGTTGGACAGGTCTGGGTCACATCCTTCCACCACTTACCAGCCAGGCTAGTCGCACAGGTAAGAGACCAAGGCACACCTGTCAGGAGCTCTTCGATTGGCCTCGTTCCTTCAGACCAAAGCAGACCAACACGCCGCATGAGCTGGACTCGTGGGACGAAACCACCAGGCAGCGTCTCCTCCCTCTGTCCCCTCTGAACACTCCAGTCCTGTGGCCTTTCTGGTGGCTCTTAGTTGATAAAATGGGCTCAGTCCAGGAATTTCAAAGGTCCAGGCCTGAATTTGATTTAAAATGGGCACCTCTCGCCTTTCGTCTTGAGCCCTTTCCGCAGGTAGGAGGCCGCTGGCTGGGGAGAGGCGCCGTGCGCTTTCTCCTCCCACCTCCCCGACCCACTGTCTGCATCTCCCTCAGACCTTCAGGGGCCTTTGGCCCAGCTGACCGCGGTTCCTCCTCCGCCACCAGCCGGGTCTGAGGTGGCCCGCCGGCTGAGGAGGCCTGTCTACACCCCGAGGACACCTGGGCCGCGCGCGCCTGCGGACCCGCGGCCTCCGGAGACGTCCCAGCGGCCTGAGCTCCAGGAGGCCTGGCTCGCGAGCCCGGAGGCGGAGTGTGCGGAAACGCAGCGGCGAGGAAGCCCTTCTCCGCGGAGGGAGGCAACCGGCCGGGCTCGGTGCTAAGTGCTGACGTGTGTGTTGCTCCTGCAGACGGAGCCGCGGGGGGCCTGGCTGACTCGTCCCCGCAGACGGATCCCTTCCAGAAGCTCGCGTGCTCCGGCCCTGACTGGAGGCCCAGCCGCGGCTCAGAGTTCACGGGGTCACGGAGGACGCGCCGGCGCAGGAGGCAGGAGCTGAGCGGGAGGGACGAAGGGGGCTCTGCCGCGCAGCCGCTGGCGACCACGGGCGCTGAGCCGGAGCTGCCTCCGTGCCTGACGGGGTCAGCCCGCCCAGTCCCCAGGCCAGCCGCGGGGTCAAGCCGGACAGTGACGGCGGAGCATCTTCCCCGACCCCCGGGTCACCGGGGAAATGCGGCCGGTGCACCTCATGCCCGTTGCGGGGGCGACGAGATGGACAAGACTGATGCACCTCGAGGGCTGACGGAGACGTGGAGCCCCTGGAAGCCTCCCACACCGCAGGCGGGAAACGAAAATGGTGCCGCCACTTTGGAAAACGGCTTGGCGATTCCTTAAAAAGTCAGACATCACCTGGCCGGCGCCAGAGAAGAGCACATGCTGCACGATTCCATTTGTCTGAAATTCTGGAAAATGCAAACTAATGTATAGTGGCAGAAAGAAGTCCAGTGGCCGCCTGGAAATGGAGGGGTGGGGAGGAACGAGAGGGACCGGTGATGGAGAGGCACGGGGACATTTTGGTGCTCATGGTTTCATGGGTGTTTATAGGTCAAACTCGTCAAATTGTGCACTCTGAATGTGTGCAGGTCAGTGAATGTCAGTTATACCTCCACAAAGACGTATCGGAAAAAAAGTCTTAGAGACAACGAAGTGCATATTTCACAGTGAAAAAAGCAGACAGACAAAAAAGGGAAGCATCTGGGATACGCGGTTGTTTAGTGAATGCTGATTCGTTGGCACAAGCCTGGATTCTCACTAAGTCTGTTCATTCACTCGTCGTGGTTCTCACAGGTCCAACCCCAGACGGAGCGATGGCAGCATGGAATATGCACACCATGGTGGGCTCCCCTTCAGGACGGAGGGGCCTTGCTTCTAAGCCTGGCCCAGCTTACACTCCAGACCCTGAGAGATGACCTCTCTCCTCTCCGAGTGCTGCCCCTCTGACTGTCTGCCTGCTCGTCGGCCTTGCCTCGGACGGTTTATTCAAGAATTTCTTCTTCCTGTTTTGTAAATAAGTTCATTTGTACCATTTTTTTTAGATTCCACGTATAAGCAACATCGTATGGTATTTGTCTTTCTCTGTCTGACTTACTTCACTCAGTATGACAGTCTCTGGGTCCATCCTTATTGCTGCAGATGGCATTATTTTGTTCCCTTTTTATGGCTGAGTAATATTCCATTGTATATATGTACCACATCTTCTTTATCCATTCATCTGTTGATGGACGTTTAGGTGGCTTCCACGTCCTGGCTATTGTAAATAGTGCTGCAGTGAACATTGGGATGCATGTATCTTTTTGAATTACGGTTTTCTCCTGATATATGCCCAGGAGTGGGATTGCTGGAGTCACTGATGTAGAAAACAAACTTATGGTTACGAGGGGGGAAAATGGGGGAAGGGATAAACTGGGAGATTGGGACTGACATATACACACTACTCTATAGAAAATACATAACTAATAAGGACCTACTGTGTAGCACAGGGAACTCAATACTCTGTAATGACCTATATGGGAAAAGAATCTAAAAACAGAGTGGATATGTGTATGTGTATAACTGAAGCACTTTGCTGTACAGCAGAAACTAATACAACACTGTAAATCAACTATACACCAATAAAAAAAAAAAGAATTTCCTCTTTCTCTTTAAGCCTCCAAATGGTTCAAATCCCAGCTTGCCCACCTGTCAGACCAGTGACCTTGTACAGGTGACCGAGCCTCTCCCAGCCTTAGTGGAAGGGAAGATGCCCATGTCCTGGGTCTGCTGTGGAAATGAGCCAGCTTGCAGTTGGGCCAGGCCCCGCGTGCTAAACCACAGCTGCCTGACACTTGGTAAGAGTCCCCGCACCCTACACCTTTCAAGACCCTTGAGGAGATCTGTCAGCGCCCACTCGGGCTGCCCGCAGTGATGTTTGGTGCCCAGTCTTCCTCTGTCTCCCAGCCCTGGTATCTGAGGCTCACATTCAGACCCTTTTCTCCTCTCCCCCTCCCCCAGAGGCTCCTTCCCCTCTGGACACCATCTGGGGCTGCTGGTGGGAGGTCCCAGTGCCGAGGCCGACGGCGCCTCATCCTCTGGGGTGGTCGGCACACTGTGGCCAGTGCCCCTGCCCTCTGTGGCATTCTACTGGGGACCAAAGCAATATGGGCTCTGGCCCTGAAGAACTGTTAGTGACCATGGCACATATGGGTCTTCCTCAAGGTCACTACATCCAGGGGGTTCATACCTGAGCCCCCAAAGCCTGGGCTGGAGGCCACGCTGTGCAGCTGTACTGCACCCCGGCTTGGAGTCAGTCCTTCCCAAAGACCGGGTTCTGTTCCGGGCCAAGCCTGCCCGCCTAGTTGGGGTTCCCTCAGGATCCAGGGGTTCCTCAATCCCTCCTGCCAAACAGGTGCGTCTTGGAGCTGCCTCTCTAGTCTCTGAAGTGTGCTCTGAGTAGCAAGGGCACTCTTTTGGCTCAGACTAGAACCTGCCCCCATGTACACACATGCATGGAGGAAAGGGCTTAGCACGGCACCTGGTACACAGTAGGTGCTCAGTGAACATCAATACTCTACCGCTCACATGTGCACACACACACAGAGCATGGCGCTCTTTGAGCGCATGAATCTAACAGGACTGCGGTGAGTCTCACCTGAGATGTATGAACTCTAGAGCACGTGCCTACGTGAGGTGTAATTACCACAAATACTAACCCCTTTCCTTTGCTAGATCCAGTTATACGCTGGAGGATAGGGGAGGACGGGCTGGGGAGTGACGAAGATACGTGGGTGCAGGATGGAAGAACGGATCCCAGGAAAGATAAGATGGGAGCATGTCCAGCTAGAGGGACTGGGAGCCAGGGCGGGAGGTACTCTGTCATGCCGGGCACCCCCTGCTCAGAGAAAGACGGTGTGGGCATGGAGACCAGAGCAGACTCCTGCAGGGAGAGAAGCAGCCTTCTGAGCCAGAAGAGACGCTTTAGCCAGGAGAACCTGTCGGAGGTGCCGTCCAGGCTGACGGGGTCACAGCAGCCGCAGCTCTGGGCCATGCTGCCCTGCCAGGGGGACTGCGGGAGCTCAGGGCAGGCGGGAGGGGCTCCTGCAGGAGTGCCGGGCGGGGAAGAAGGAAAGCTGAGTGTGGATGGTCACACAGGAGCCTGAAAAGGCCCCAGAGAAAGGCCTTTGAACCACAATTTAGAAACAACAGCGAGGAAGCAGCTGTGAGTCAGAGTGGTAGCTGAGGCCAGCCCAAGGCCATGAGCACACAGAGTGGCACTGTCTCGGGAGAGAGGCATTCCCCCTCCCCTCCTGATTCCCTGCCCTTACCGCTGGTCTTAAATGAATCCGGGTGGAGAATAAGGCTGTGTAGGTAGCACAGCGTAGAGGGCCGCCTGTAGGGTCCCATCCGTGTGGTTTCATATTTCGGCCCTGCCCGCTCCTAGCACGGTGACTTTGGGCACAGTACTTAATCTTCCTGGCCTCTGGGAGACTGGCTGTTGTTTTCATTTGTTCTGAATCATCTATAATGTCTAGCATGGTCTGTGAGCCTAATGGATTCATTTCTTTATTCATCTGTTCATTCACTCATTCAAACAAACACTCTGATCACCTGTCAAATCAGACCAGCTCACTCCCAGGCCTACGGTCACCCATTAAACCCCAACAGCTGGACCTGCTTGGACTCCTCTCCCCACGCTCCCTCCCTGTGCTCTATCATGTCACCACCTGCAGTTTCCGGAATGCACCAGGCTCCCTGGTGCTTCAGAGCATGTGCAGGCACAGCCCTGACTCCCAGCCAGCCCTTCCCTGACCCAGGTAGAGCTAGCTTGGTCCTCTGGGCTCTCATAGCCCCTTACATTTGGGCCTGTAGTTTGGGGTTATCAGCCGTGCCACAATCATGACCGGTCTGCCTCCCCCTGCAAACTGGGGGCTCCTGAAGGACAGCACTTTGGTTCTTGGCTTCTCTCTGTGTATCCCCAGCATCTAGCACAGGACCTGGCACAGAATGGGAGCTGAGAAAATGTTTGAGGCTCGAAGGAAAAAAGAGACCGTGCTACATGATATATGTCATGGGTTGAACTGTGTCCCTCCCAAAAGATACGTTAAAGCCTGATATGAGCTGAATTGTGCCCCAAAATTCATGTTGAAGCTCTAATCCTGGTACCCCAGAATGTGACTGTATTTGGAGACAGGGCCTTTAAAGAGGTGATTCAGTTAAAATGAGGCTGTTTCTGTGGGTCCTTATCCAATCCAGTGTCCTTATAAGAAGAGGAGATTAGGACACACAGAGGCACCAGGAATGCAAAGACAGAAGCAAGTCCACTTGAGGACACAGAGAGAAGACGGCTGTCTGCAAGCCAAGGAGAGAGGCCTCTGGAGAAACCGGACCTGCCGACACCCTGATCTTAGATTTCCAGCCTCAGGTACTGTGAGAAAATTAATGTCTGTTGTTTTAGTTGTGGTATTTTGTTATGGCAGCTCTGGAAAACTAATACGAAGTCCTAACCCCTAGCGCCTCAGGATGTGACCTTATTTGGAGACAGGGTCATTACAGCTGTAATTAGTTAAGATGAGGTCAGTAGGATGGGCCCTATTCCAATATGACTGGTGTCCTTATGAGAAGGGGAAATGAGACGGTAAATTTCTGTTGTTTTAATCCATCCAGTTTGTGGTACTTTGTTATGGCAGAGTTAGAAAACTAATACAGGATGGGAGACAAAAAAAATATCACTTTATGACAAGTTCATCAAAGCGAGAGGTTTTCTGCCCACGGCAACACAAGGCTATGGTGTCGACGCCAGATGACTGGAGATGAGCTTCCAGGGCTCTCTTCTCTTCCATTCCTGGTTATTGTCCGCTACCGCCCCTCAAGCACAGACAGCTGAGTTACATTTCTCAGGGCTGGCCCGAGCCCCATCCACCCCCAGAACTGCCCGCCACGTTATCAGTCCAGGATCACACCTGCTCCCAGAAGTTCCATCTTCAGGAAATCTGGACCCAGGCCGCGCCCAGCCCTCAGCAGGTCCCCGTGCAGACCCCGGACACCACGTTTTCTAACCTTCCTCGTTTTTCCCAACTTGCCCACACACAGCTGGCTTTTATTTTTTACCTTTGCTGTTACCTGTGCCACTACACACCTGTCCACACCCCAGCTCCCAACAAGGAGTGAGGGAAGGAAGGCAGAGGCGGGGAACTTGACCCCACGCGGGCGCTCAGACCCCTCTGAACCCAGCCTGCCTGGCCCTGAATGCGCCAAGGAACCCGCCCTTGTTTAGGGTGAGTCTGGGCACAGAGCCCTCCCCACAGACAGTGGCAGCGCTGAAGGGCAGGTGGAGGCCAGGGCAACCCTCCTGTGGAAATTCGGGAGCTGCCACCGTTCACAGACACGAGAGATCTCAGGCAGCAGTGGGAGCGAAGCTCAGATGCGACAGCGGATCTGCTGTGTCTGCATCGCTCAAGCCCTTCCCACTCTGGCCCACCGCTTCCCTGATCAGTTCCCCTGTGACTCCCGTTACTGGGCTTATTCACTGCCCCGCACAGGCCTTTCTCAGGCCTTTCTCGTGCATTTGTCCGCTTCTCCCTGTACCTCATTTATCCCTGACCGCTGAAATCCTACACAGCCTTCAAGGCCTGTCCCACATGCCTCTTTCTCTAGCAAGCTTTCCCTGATAACCTCAACCAGAAGAGGTTTCCACTCCTGTCTTTGCCAAGTGCGGCATCGGGCATGGGGAGTCAGGAGCTGTGTTTTCCCCAGCCTCTGGGGGCAGTGCTGTGCTAAGGGTGTAAGTGGACAAATCCCAGCTCTGCTCCTTACTGGGTAGGCGACCTTGAGCAGGTTCCTCTTCTGTCTGGGCTTTAGTCCCGCATCACAGTCCCCTGTGAAATGGAGATTGTACTTTTTATTTTATTGATTTTACTTTTTAAAATTAATTTTTTGGAGTACAGTCGATTTACAATGTTGTATTCATTTCTGCTGTACAGCAAAGTGCTTCAGTTATACGTACACAGATATCCACTCTTTTTTTAGATTCTTTTCCCATATAGGTCATTACAGAGTATTGAGCAGAGTCCCCTGTGCTACACAGTAGGTCCTTATTAGTTATCTCTTTTCTAAAGAGTAGTGTGTATTTGTCAGTCCCAATCTCCCAATTTATCCCTTCTGCCGCTTCCCCCTTGGTATGGAGGTTTCAACAGGGTCTCAGGTTTAATGAGATAATACATGTTAAGTCCTCAGCAGTCAGGGAGGAAAGGGCAGCCCTTCCACGAGGCCATTCCCAGGGACTTGGCCTCATCAAAGACAGTCGTTCCTGTCTCTGTCCCCACTCCCTCGGGCCATCACTCAGATGTCGCTTCCTAACTCAGCCTTCCCTCACAGCTCTACTGAAGATTTCACCCCCGCCCACGTTCCCTGGCCAGCCCGCCCTATTTACTTTCTTGGTACAATAGCATTAAGTCAGTATCTGGTCCTGAATGAACGCGTGAAAAGGGAGACTGGGAGGCCTGGGGAGGAGTGTTCAGCAAGTGGGTCCGCACCGGGCTGGCTGGAGGGGCTGCATCAGCGTCCCCGGGTTTGGCAGTGGGTTCGATAGCTCTTCCAGCCGTCCCGCCGAAGACACGAGGCTGCCTCTGAGGTCGGCCAGCTCCTCCGCGCTTCAAGCACTGGCTCCTCTTCCTACTTTTTCTCTCCCTGGGACATAATTGAAAGAACTCTTCCTAAGCCGGGTTAATTTGTTCTCTGTCAAGAGAAAATAAAGAAACCATAGCGACCGATTAGCAGCATCTCCTAAATCAGTCCAATGAGAAATAGGTTTGGAGCATCCACCTGGGAGGGCAGCTGAAATCTCCAAGGCCATAAGCACAGATTCTGTTTCAACGTGCTGTGAGAAGCAGAGCTGTGATTAAAGTGCCCACCTCAGCCGTGGCTGCCCTTCCAGTGCCCTCCCCGGCCCTCATCTCTTAGGGACCAGACAGAAAGACTGGACCTTTGACGTGGTCCCGCAGAGAGGCCAGCCTCCACGCCATTCTCTTGTTTCCTGTCGAGGTAGCCCCAGGAAGTAGGCGGTATTCGTCTCTCCTATCACAGGTGAGGAAAGGGCGGCCCAGTCCCAACGGCTTGCTCATGGCCACGGAGCTGGTCCGTGACGGAGGGATGGAGCTGGGGCTCACGCTCAGGTTGGCCTCGTCCGCACAACTGTGCCTTGTCCATCGTGACCACATTTGAGGCTCTCCAGCCAGACACAGACGGAGACCTGAAGCACTTCCCTCGGTGGCCCACCTTTGACGTCCTGTGTCCCTTCAGCAGCCTCTGTGACACCAGCTGGGCCACTGGGCTCCTATCCCTCTTGACCTCTAGATACTAGTTTGGTTAAATAATCCTCGATTTACCTCTCACGGACATTGTGTCACTGCGACCTGATCAGAATTCTTTGAGGTCAGGCCCACCGGCTGCAGAGGTGGGGTGTAGCTGCAAGTGGCAGAACCTGGGGTTGGGTGACTTAGCCAGCGGGTTAGGGCAACGGGTGTTCCTGGCCGTGAGCAACTCCTAAGATCAAACATGGGTAATTACGCAAAAGAGGTGTGCTTACTTATTTGCTTTAGGATTGCATTTCACGAATGACATTTGTTTAGTGCCCATGGTTTACAAACTGCTCCCACATACATGGTAACCTCGTGTCACGGACTGTATAAAGGGACTGTCTGGCTCCTATTCTAGGGGGTTCTTTACATCAACAGGGCTTTGAAACCAGGGAGCAAGGCTTCTGAAATATTTACATTGGATTTGATTTTTAATAACTCTATTTACTTATCATAAATATGACTTGTAGTAATATGAGATCCAAGACACAAATATTACTAGAGTATTATTGGGTTGGCCAAAAAGTTCATTCGGGTTTTTCCAGCCCAATACTTCTACTCCCTTCTGTTATGTTAAGTTCACATCTTGGTTAAGAGCTTGTCAGGGTTCAACTATAGCATTCCTGTTAGAGGCAGAGGGAGCCAGGAGACTCCCAATCTCCAGAACTTCAGTAAAGTCTCAAAGATAGATAGATAAATACATAAATAAATAAATAAACAAAATTTCCCCCTTTCCTTAGAATTTTCTCAGTGTTCCGCTAATCAGATACTGTTAGCTTTATTCTGCATTCATTCATTCACTGAATGTGTTTCAGGCCCTGTGCTAGGAGCACGATTAAAAGACTGTCCTGTTCTGGGGCACTCCCAGTCCAATGGTGGTTCAGGGGCCCTGGCAGATACATAACACATAACAGACCTCTACAATGTGATAGGGAAAGTGTAAGGACAATGGAAGGCAGAAGCAGGTCTGGAAGCACAGAGTAAGGACAACTAATCCATGCTGGGCATATCAGGGAAGTCTTCCTGGAGGAGGTGACATCTGAGTTGGACGAGAGAAGTGGAGGAAAGAAATCCAGGCAGCAGAGAGAGGCTCAGGCACGAGAGCATTGTGTACTCAGAGAAGGGGCTGTTTGGTGAGACGGCCCTTAAGTAGCACAGTAAGAATGGGAACAGCTGAGCTTTAACCCTCAGCCAGGAGTCTTGTATGTGAGCTGCTGGGAGATTTTAAGCAGGGAAAACATTCTCATATTACCCCTTACTTCTTCCAGGTATGAACCACAGTTTATTTTTATCTTTTGACATCTTTATTGGAGTATAATTGCTTTACAATGGTGTGTTAGTTTCTGCTTTATAACAACACAGTTGTTATTAAACAACTACTGGGAATTCCCTGGCCGTCCAGTGGTTAGGACACGGTGCTTTCACTGCCATGGCCCAGGTTCGATCCCTGGTCCAGGAACTAAGATCCTGCAAGCTGTGCAGCGCAGCAAAAATAAACAAAAACAAAAAACAAAAAACCTACTGATATAGTTTGATGTTTAGCATTTCCTCCGAGCAAATATTAATATAATCTCTAAGAAAGCAGAGACTAAGATGTCTTTTTGTTCCACCCTATAATTCTCTAGACCTAGAAGAGGTCCTGGTTATAGTGGATGGTTAGAAAATGGGGGGAAAGTAGGGAGGGAGAGAAAGGCAGTGACCAGATCTGTTGTGCACTGGAGAAAAATCATTCTGGCAGCAAATAGAGGAGAGATGGCAGAGAGGTGAGACTTGGGGTTGGGAGGGACTGATTAGAATACTATTGTCATAATTCAGGTGAAAAGTGCAAACTGTCTACAGGAACGGCAGAGGCAGAGGCGGGAGGGAGGGGACGTAGAGAGGAGAAAAGCCCAGGAGGTAAGGTCTACGTGACCTGGTGCCCAGGTGGGCAAGTAAAGAGAAGTAGAGAGTCACCTGGAGGGGTTTTGACGCCTGGGCCCGGCAATCAGTCTCAGTGAATTGGTCTGGGTGGTGTAGGAGACGCGGGTAATTCCTAAAAGGACCCAGGTGACCCTCCCGTGCAGGCAGGATGGATAAGCACTGACCGAGTGAGGGGTTTATGAGGGCTCCGAGGGTTCCGGCTTTGGAAGAGAGAACACAGGAGGGAGAGCGAGTTTGGGAGAGTCGGGAGAGAGAAGCAGTTCAGAAGGTACTGAGTTGACTGAGTTTGAGGCATATGAATTAAGAAAGAAAGATGTCAGGTGGTTCTTGTTTGTTGCTTAAAGAGTGAAGGTGAGGATAAACAATTGGACATTTTGGTTGGGAGTTGCTTCATAATTAGGATGGTTTTGTGCAATGGGGGTCAGAGAGGGCTCTTTGGAAACTGTCTGAGGAAGTCTGTGTTCTGGCTGAGCACCACGTGGTGAGAGACGTGAACATGAGCTTGCAGAAAATCACAGAGCGAGCCGTGTAACTGGGTTTCCACCCTTGTTTTTACCTTCTCTGCTTCCAAGTTTCTTCTCTGCACAGCTGAACAATGCACCAACTTTGTTTCATAGCAAATTTCTTATGGTCTCTGGCAGTGCCGATGCAGCCTTCATATTCCATTTGTTCCTTGGATAATGAGCTTAGCCTCAGAGCCAAAGGAAAAAGCCCCAGTGCTTGTTAAATCTACTGGCACGGGCTGTTGGCTCCCCACAACCTCCATCAGACGTTGCGCTAAAATCATCCAGCTCGGTCAGGCCGTTTGCATCTAGGCAAATGGCCCTTGGTGACTAATAGAAATCCAACTTTATATTGATGAGGAAGGGCCTTGATAAGCAGCATTAATTTTGTCTGCACAGTGGAATGGAGCTCATCTCTACTTCCTTCTGGGGAGCCTGGTTTATGCTTCCCCCAGACAGCACTTCCCCGGGGCTCCCAGACATTGCATTCACCAGGTGTAATTAATCTCAGAGGCTCCCTGGTCCGGCTTTTGCACACGGCACACAACCTGCCTTATTTTTTCCCAGCCTCCCAGCTCAGAGAGAATTGTGATGATGGGGCAACCTGAATTCTAATAGCGCTTCAAGTAGTCATTTGGGCTTGATGCATGTGGCCTGGTGCAGACAGAACCGTAACAGCTGGGAGGACTCTGTCCGGCTTTTCCTCCCCCCAGGGGTCTGGGAATTAAGGCTGTTATTGTCCAGTTGGAGTCCTGGGAATTGGGTTGTTGTTGCCAAAGACAAAGGAATGCGTTTCCAGAATTATCACTTAGAAGAAGAGTGCACCGGAGAGAAACTCTAGATGCTTCCAGAAAGGTGGGCCGTGGGTATCTCGGCAGGGTAATCTAAATGTGAAACGTCTCTGCCAACTACTTGGAAGCATCTTGCAGTGGGTGGAAGACTCCTGGACACATCTCTACCTCGCATTCAGTCCATCTGGAAAGGCAGAAGGACCACTTTGCCTTCAGGATTTTACTGCACCCTTTGGGAAAAAAATCCCATAACCTTCCGGGGCTTCCAAGACACCCATTCAGTGAGGATGTGTGGTCTCAAGCTTCCAGAATATATTCAGTTCGATGCAAACAAAATTGTTGAGGACCTACCTGTGCCAGGAGGGAAGTGGGGGGTGAAGACGAGAAAGGATGCCCTTGGTCATGCAGCCACCGACTCGCCGACAGTCCTTGATCAAGCATTGGCTTCGTACCAGGCTTTTTTTGCCAGGAGGGATGCAAAAATGAAGGAGGGGGTCCCTGCCTGCCGGGAGCGCTTCTATTTGGGCAGATTGACATGGGCTACCATTAGAGCCACAGAGTGACGGACACTGTCCTGGGAGCTTTGATAGAGACACTAGAAAAAATGTAAAACAAACCCAGAAGACACTGGAATTGATTCTGAGTGTGGAAACCGGAGGAGGCTGGAGAGAGGCGGAATCAGGATTTCAACAAGGCATTTGACCACTTTCTCCTCTTGGTCTGGTCACCAGAGCAAGAGCTAACACGCCCACAGCATTGACCATGTTCCTGGAGTGGTTTCAAGAGCTTTACGTATATTCACTTTGTCCCCACAACAAGCCTTTGAAGTAGGTACTATTATTATCCCCATTTTATGGATGAGGAAACTGAGGCACCGAGAGGTTAAATGACTTCTCCAAGATGACCGCTAGTAAGTGGCAGAGTAGGATTTGGTCCCAGGCAGTCTGGCTCTAGACAACTCTGGTGCAGTTAGGTAGATCTCTTCTGGTTAAACAGCCCTACCCCAAAAGGGTATTTCTTTATGTTTTGTTTGGCTTAGTCAAAATAATTCATGTTGGAAAAGCAATATGGCATTATAGAAAGTTTGGAGAAAAGAATAAAGGTTTCCCTTTGTGGCTGGCATGATGTTGGCATGAGGTGCAGAGTAACCCTTCTGTGTTACAATA